ATATTATATTAAGTATTGCTATTTTATATTAATTACTATGATTGAATATGGGTTTACTTGCTGAAGCATTGACTTACTGTGGGGGACAACCCCACTATTGTACCTATCCCTTCCCCTGGCCTAACCTTTTTTGTTTGTTACCCCTTGTCATACCCTTATTGACCCCACTTCCCCTTTACCCTTATAAAATTTAATAAAATATTTTTTTAAAAATGAGGCATATATAAGTGAATTCCAATCACACACTGACCTTTTGCTATAATGAAAGTTATGTGTAAATCTAATCACTATACTATCTGAGAACACACTATAATCTGGGAAAAGATTTGGCATTTAAGATTCCCATTCTAGGAAACATAAAGAGCAAAATATGAGCTGTAGAATCTACAGACTATTTGAAAAAAGCCATTGGGGCACATTTCCACATCTCTAAAGCATACTTGTCTGTAAACATCTCTGGAATCTAATGATGCATAAGATCCTTCAGTATGTCAAGCTTGCTCATAAAATATTCCCTCTATAATATATGTTCCTTTTGTCATTGGCCACATACTTACAGGCTGGTGGTAGAGGTGGGGTTATAGGTGAACAATTTGGACTGATTTTAAGTTTATCCCTTTTGCTTTAAGGGATGGCATGGTAGTTCAATGGTAAAGATGCTAAGCTTCTTGGCTGGAAAGTCAACACCCCAGGTTCAAGACCTGAGTGTCACATGATATGATGAGCTCCTGTCCTTGCCCCAGGTCCTGCCAAGCTAGACGTTCAAAAACATTCAAATGCAAGTAGATAAATAGATACCACTGTGGTAGCAAGGTAACAGTGCTCCATGACAGCATGCTGACCACATGACCATGGGTCTTTGGAAAGAGCTGGTTCAATGGCCTTGAAACAGAGATAAACACCACCAGCTATAGTCGGCAACAACTAATGGAGTAAAATCCGCAGGGACTCCTTTATCTTTTTTTTTTACAAATATTTAAATTAAAACAATGTTCAAACATTAGTATTAATTTAGCTTTAGCTTGCCTTGATTGTTGCTAACTGTATTAAAAGAAACTGCTTTAGTAAACATATCAGCTTTCTCTAACCTGGTACTATCAAATAATTTGGAACTAGGGGGCATGCAGCCAGGATTATGGGAACTATAATCTAGCATTTCTAAAAATGAGAAGATTGGCAATCATTGAATGGGCTAATATTGGCATGCAGTGCCCAAATAATAAATCCTACTCAATCTAAAATATAAAAACAATTTAATTTTCCTCTTTATTAGAACACAGAATTTAACAACATGAGCCAGTTTGGTGCAGTGCTTAAAGCATCAGGCTAGAAACTGGGAGATCATGAGTTCTAGTCTTGTCCTAGAAACAAAACTGGCAGCCTTGGGTCAGCTGCTCTTTCTCATCCCTAGGGATGCCAAGAAAACTACAGGGACTTGACTAAGCAGTTACCAAAACTGACTTGAAGGCACATATAGACCCAAAAATATAATACTTATGTCAATCTAATCTAATGAAATAGCACGGAGTGATAATGGTGGTGATATGTTGCTTCTATTAAATTTTTTTTCCTGTATTTCTATTATATTTTCCAAATGCATCGTTTGTGGGGGGGTTGTGAGTTCATTTCCATTCAGGACAGGGCCTCCTTTATTTCATATCCTTTTCAAGATTTGAAACAACGTTTGATGGATATAATTCTGTCAACTTTTGAAATCTTATCATTTGAGTACAAATAGTTATTACAGAGGAAACCAATAGCGTATAGAAAAGAGGCCTCATCTTATTAAAAATCCAAGAAAATATGGATCAAAGGAAAAGATCTAAATTCACCTTAAAATAATTCCTCCTACTATCTGATGTTCAATCTCTTTTTCTAATGCATACATAAGAGGATCATTTCAAACATTTGTTCTCCCACATATTTTTCTTTTAACCATATTCTTTTTAATAGGTATTATTTCTTCCTCTTTCTGCACGAGCAGTTCAAGGTTACTTTGGAAGTATGGAAACCAAGGGTTTTTTATTTAGTTACACAATGAACAGAATAACAAAGCAATCATTAACAGGAAATGGGCTCTGACATACACTTGGACTCCCTGGCTTGGTCACAAAGTTTTCAAGGTCTTATACAAGGCAGCAAGGTTGGGGCTAGCCTGATCTCCAAGGGGGTGTTGGGCAGGCTCCATAGCAGAAGAGAGTCCCCTTCTGTGCCTTGTGAGTCAATGCCTTTCAGCTAAGGAGACTTGAAACATATTCTTATTGCTGGGATATGGATTCTATTACGGATAGAAACAACCAGGAAGAGACAGTCCCAAAACAGACAGTCTATATTTGAATGGAATGTGGCCTCTTTGAAAACTTGCCCGGCTGATAATTTTCACAAATAATCTTGATATTAGAATTTATGAGTTATATGAGGAATATTCAAGTTTACGAGTTTTGAAACAGTCCAATTGAACACATACTGTAAGTGCACAGAAGCACAAAATATGCCAATTAAAACACTAACAAGCTATGAAACCAGAAGATAAAGTATTATTGATGGATAAAGTAACAAGAAATGGGACATGAACCTCTATGACTAAGAATTATTCAAAGACACCTAATTCCATCTTAATTCCTTTGTGAATTATCACATTGCTAATGAAAATTAGTTGGTCAGAGTCCAACTTTTAAAGTAAAAAAATTAAAAAGTTAAATAAGTCATGTCTGTGTTCATGAATGGAAAGGCAGTGCTAGTCTCTTGGTCTTCCCCCCCTCTCTTTTATCCTGGGAATTCTTGGAAGCAAGGAACTGAGAAAGGTTATAGTATCTATCTGATTTTTCTGCTTACATTTGTTAGGAAAATTGTATTGACTAGCAATGTGTACCTCTGATTAGTTGTGCTGAAACTGAAAAATGTACTAAGGGGACAACCAAATTCAAATATGAATCAATACGTATAGGCAATTGTTATTTCTCAGAATTTGTCTCCTGGCTGTTATTTAATATTAAACTGATATACTGATAATAATTTGACTTTCTTATCTTTTTTTTTTGTATTTCTTCATTTAAACTGAGTTAGCCAAGCAATCACTGTACTTATGTAAAGAAGGACCAAAGAGCAAGAGCGATATAAACCCTGATATTGCCTGAATATGTATTCTGTAATTTAAGAATAATGGTCCCAAAATACTCTGCCAAGAAAAGCTGAATGTTATGTTCTATATAAATTATGAACGGTAAGCTTACCTGCATGTATTAGCTCAATTTACTTAATTTACTTGATTTCTGCAGACACTGTCAAGGAGAGAATCAAGGATTTGGGCAATGAAAAAATAAAAAAGACTGAAATCATATTGATACTCACCATTGGCTTTGGATATTATTATTTTTTAAAAATAGTCACATCTTTTCAAAATTATATTAATTTCACAGAACAAACACAGCAGCCTTCATCATCCTAAAGGCTGGTATGTTTGCTCTGTGCCGATACTCTCCAATATAATAAGACTGGCTGAAAATTTCATCTGGTACCAAATTGTCTCTCTTCCCACCTCTCCCTCTCCCCCTCTCTATCAAGATTATAGGAGAAGAAAGAAATAAGTAAAGAAAAAAAATAAAAATACTAAAAAAAACAGTATTAAGAAACTAGTGAACATTCTACTCTTCCCTTCCATTTTACCCCAACTGATAGTTACAATCAATAATTTGTAAGCATCTAGACTTGTTTCTGATTTCTATTTATCATCTTTTGCCATTTTTAAAATCTCCCTTAGAAACCATACTTTAAATATCTGAATTTGCCCTATTGTGTAGTGTATAATATATATGCAAACAATTCTTGTTAGAATTATAGAACTGTGGTGGTGCAGTGATTGGAATACAGTATTGCAGGCTAATTTTGCTGATTGATGACAGTTCAATCCTGACAAGGTTGAATCAAGGTTGATTCAGCCTTCCATCCTTCCAAGGTTGGTAAAATGCAGACCCAGATTGTTGGGGGCAATATGCTGACATTGTAAACTGCTGAGAGAATGCTGTAAAGCACTATGGAGTGGTAGCACTATGGAGTGCTATTGCTATTCAGTTAAGTTGTAAATCCATACAATTATTTTTATCTTTGCTGTGTGTACTCCAAGTTTGGTTTTCCAATCCGATACCTATCTGGCAATCTATCTCTTTTCCAATGAGGTGCTGAATTTGTGCTTGTGGCCATCAACATGTATTTTAATAGATTGTACTGTTTCTTGTTTATATATTCCAGAACAATTCCTTCTAAGGATAGTTGAGGTTTCATTATGAGCTTTCCCTACCTCCTATATTTAAAAAGGCCCCAAAGTTGACCTTTATAAATGTTATTTGGAGATTTCAATGAAGAGTTCTTTTGATTACAGCTCAGACACCTAGTACTTCAGTTCAGAGCACGCTGAATTGTCCTCTTTATTTGCATTTGAAAATTTTCTAGGAATGCATATGCACCAAAGGATTTCTACTAAAGGAAAATAGTCCACTTTAATGCTATCTGTTAGAGGTGTCAAAACGTGAATCTCCCTTTTGCACTTTAAACAAATGTCAAAATGCATTGTTTAGCAACCAGGAGCAATTGACTCAGTATTTCTTTACTCATCATAACCCAAATCACCTTAGTGCATAAGACTCATCAATTACCCAATATTTTTCTAGAATTTTATCAGATGACTTGCTCTGTGTGATATGATATGAAACAGGGACAAAAACCTATTTTTATCTGTTCTCTATTCTGTGAATCATTTAATAAACTTCCATTAATTAAATCCTTTTTTCATACATTTAAATGAATCCCACATGTACTTCCATTGTACATTAATAATATGGCCATTATCACATAAATAAAACATTATTAAATAATCTATTATTCAGTAATAGATTATTTTACTTTATTCATGGAATCAGAAAATAAATTACATGGTCAGCCTGAATATAGTTTAGGGAATTTCAAGAGATATAATTAAAATGCATGCATTACAAGTAACTTACCCAAACATTTCCATCTTGGTGATATGGCTTCCAATTTCTCCCTGTATCACTGTAAAGCATTCGGTACTGAGTTACCCAGTCAGAACTACTATATCTGCCTTGAGTAGCAATTGAGCCGATCTGTTTCCTATTGCTAAAATCCACTTGCAGCCACTGGTAATGGTTACTTTCTGATGGGGACCAGCCTCCAGCACCTACAGAAGTAAAGGAAAGATGATACTATTAAATTTCTAATATGGTTTTCATGGAAAGTTATTCCTTACTGAGATATATTTAAGTATACACTCATTAGTACTTCCCACTTTTCTCTCCATTTACAGTGTGTAACAAGTATTTCATACGAACTCTGAAGCAGCACAAGTAAATAGTGGTAGGAAACAATGCATGCTCTGAGAGAAAAGGAGAGCTATTGTCAGAGTATCAATCTGTTTTGTTCATTAGTTTCTTTCAATTCCTGAAAATTATCATCATAACTTGAGTGGCGTTCTGGTACCTCTGTGAAGAATCCTAGTATACCGAGGAAAAAGAATGACAGTAGTTAAAGTTTCATTCCTGCTCCTTTATTAGTAAATGCTCCATGGAGAAAGCTGTTTATAAATTGGAAAGACATATTTTTCTCATCCTAAGTCACATTGACAAGCCATGAACATATGCATACTCTTTAAAATTTCCGCATGAATGTGATATATCACATTCAAGCAGCCATTTCAAGATCATATTGTTTTTTCCCCTTTTACCAGTAAATGATGTTAAAGAGCTTTGCAAAACTTCCTGTATAGGACATTAAGTATTCAATAGCCTAACTTCATATATTCTTCGGATACATTATGAGATCTAGCTCTCTGGACAAAAATCTAATGTTGGAAAAGAACCAGGTTAGGGACAGATCATCATGAAGAAAAATTATCTATGTGGTCATTAAAAATAGACAGCAACTTCATGGCACATAATTAATCAATAAATCAAAACTTTCTATGGTCACATACTTCTATTAAAAAAGTAGTACCCTTAAAGGATAAGATATAAATTTTAGCAAATTCTTTTATCAGATGGCCTTTAGATGTCTTCAAGTACATATCATTATTATTCTTTGTCTAATAGTTTATCAATTTTGCTCACTTCACAGACTTTTTTTTTTTTTAAATCTCACAAATATCATCTATGCAAACTTCCAGGAAAGAATGGCAGACTAAAACGTGAAGTGGAGCAGACAATTGCACTCATGAACAGGGACCCAGTAAGAAAATTGTCTCCTTTAACCTTCTCTAGACAAAGAGAGGATGCAAGATTGTCCTATCTATGCTCCATAATGTTGTTCTTTATGAAGAAACTGCAAGATAGCACTCTCAGTGTGTGTGTGTGTGTGTGTGTGTCTAAAATTTGTCTGAAATGATATTGGATCTCCTGCTTGAGCCAGGGGTTGGACTAGAAGACCTCCAAGGTCCCTTCCAACTCTGATATTCTATTATTATTAAATTATTAGAGAAAAAATATGAAACAAATTTGTCATTAGACACACAAAAATTTATGAGACTTTAAAAATTAAGAAGGAAATATAAATATCAATTCCAGAAATCAATAAGAATGATTTCTCTTTTTGGACTTATAAAAAGGGCTTTTTAAAGTTTTGATGAAATTCAAGACAAGGATAAATAATGATGAATGGATTAAAGAGCAAAATTATTTTATACAAAATAAAGGTACATAAAGTTGGTTTATCTGACCAAGGATAAAATGCCCTGATTTGGGATTGTTCTTTTTGGATTTGTTGAGATCTGGAAAGGAAAATGTTGAGTACTGGATTGTTTACAGTTAAAATGGTGTTTAAGCTTTTTCCCTACAGTCACTTTATGTATCCTGATAATATTTAAATTGGCTTTGTATCTAGTTGTCCTTTCACCTAAAGTAAGGAATCTTAGTGAGGTTCTTTTGTTTAAAGGAGAAATTGTCCCTCTTTGTCATATTACATTTCAGTCTTTTTTATTTAAATAAGAATACTGGGACTATTTGTGCCTTCTAAATTGAATTTGCTTACAGTTGATTTGATACATGGAATGATAGCAATTAATATTATTATTTTTAGGGATCTGTTTGGAGTTTTTGCTGATAGTAGATTAAAGAAGACATAACTTTTGGATTTGTCTATAGTTAATAGTTATAGGTTGAAAATTTTAATTTTTGCTAATTAAGAGGAGGTGAAGAGATAATGAAATTATTTATGTCTGTTATGATGAGGATAGGAAGCCTTTTTCTTAGGATTTTTTCCTCCCTCTTGCTGTTTTCTTTCTTTTTTTATTTTATTGAAACTTTCATTCCTTTTTCTTTTTAAGTTTGTATTATTTTCTAACTATTGTAATTAAAACTTTTAATAAAACTGTTTTTTTAAAGAATACCATCTATCAAGAATGATCATAACAGGCGGAATTCAGTTGCAATTATATTGTGGTATCCATCAGCCCACACTTACTCTTTCCTTAAATTGAACATATATTTTCAATCTTTGTATAGATAATCATATGTCATTTATGATTTTAATTTAATTTTACTGAAAAGGGCTACCATGAGTAAGAACCAAAGAACTTTATAGGCATTTAATGACATCTTCTTAGTAACTATCAAATTATAATAATTTTAAAGCTTGACCAAATTATCCACAACATCCCTTGTCAGAGTTTCCTGGCATGTCAATGGCAGCTGATTGATTCTTTATTCTCTAATTAAGCCACAGTTTCAAATTAAATGGGAGGGAATAACAGCACCCACATCTGCACTCTCCAAAGCACTATAGCATTTATTGAAATATATAAGATTCAAAAATTTCATCAGAGGCCACTTATGGAGTATATGTCCTATTGCCTAACCAATGTTTTACATTCTGGTTTCATCAGAAATGAAACTATCAATAGACATTCTTCCTCCTTCCATTAAGAGTGTAGTAATAATGTTTACTTGAGAAACTGGCTATGACAAGAATAGCTTGATACTTTTTTAGCAATTAATTCAATTCACATCAATTTACTGTGGTCAAATATCACTATGGATAATGAACAAATAAAATTTAAGAGAGAACTAAAATACATTTATAAACATCTAGTAACTGAGATTCAGAATATAGCCTTTTATTAAATTATAATGTAAAAACTATAATTATATTAAATATGGCAACATCTACAATTACAACAAAGTAAAGGTATATGTCTATTGAGATTTTCAGTCATCCAGGTCATGGTTGTCCCGAAAGTGCTTTTTCAAAAGGCAACTGGACTTTCTTTGTTTTTTTCTCTTGAAGACTTTTCACTTTTCACCCCAAAAGTATCTTCAGTTCTGACTGAATGGTGGGAAATGGAAGGACTTTGTGCTAACAACCAGATGACAGCAAGGAATAGAAATCCCCCCATTACCCACCATTCAGTCAGAACTGAAAATGCTTCTTTGATTAGAAACAAAACATCTTAAAGAGAAAACAAACAAAGAAAGTCCAGTTGCCTTTTGAAAAAGCACCTTTGAGACAAAGTAAAGGTATCTAAAATTATTAATATCAGCAGAGTAAAAATATTTATATTAGGCCTGGAGATATTGGATCTTCTTTGCTTCTGTACAAAACCTAGCTATAACAAGGGGTATTTGTCTATGAACCTGGCAAGCACAATGGTGGCAGGAGTGTGAAAATGGGAATCCTCCCCAACCATTGCCTTACCACCACCCACCGTGACTTTCTCCACACCCGTCCCCAGCCTCTTCTGCTCAAAGCCAAGTGTAGTGGTGGCAGGGGCAGTGGAGGTGTGGAAATGAGAAGACACTGGCTGCTACCACCTTCTTGCTACCTGCCCCAACCTGCTCTGCACTCTACCCACTCTCTTGCTCGCCCTTCAGCTGCCACAATGAATTGGTTATGTGGAGTTGTCCTATAATGACTTGGTGGTGGTGAGTTGGCAGAGATGAGTTGGTAGTGGTGAGTTGTACTAGACCGATCTGGATAGCTGCTCTGATGAATTTAACTCGTATCTTTTCCAGAGAGGTGAAACCAAAGCTGGGAGGGCCCAACTAGAGTCCCATAAAGGAACAGGGAGAGAGACTTAGTCTGAGAGAGGTTAAGCATGTCTGGAACATAATATCCTCCTTTGGATCAGAAAAAAATAAGGATGATATTGGCAAATCTTTGCCCAATAACAGCAGGGCATTCCTCAAGCCGGTGGTATACATGACTAGTTTTAAACTCTAGATTTATGAATGTAGCTAGGTTACTACCACCTACTCTTATTTTAAATAAATAATAACAATCAATTAATCAAAAGTAACAACTTTTCATTGGCAATGCAAGCTTTGTAAAAATTCCTTTTCCCTTCCTTTTCTTTTCAATCAATTTTACAGTTTTACAATAATATCTTTTTATTGTTAGTGAATAAATCTTATTTTAACACTTTCTAAATGTTTATAAAGATTCTAAATCAGGAGATGGGTCAACTTCTTTGTATCATGGACCCTTTTGAGAATCTAGTGAAATCTATACAGTATATCCAAATTATACTCAAATGCAATTATTAAAATATTAAAAATAATAACAAATATGTATGTGAAAATAAAGTCGCAACTTTTTCCAATCCAAAATCTTTTCCCACTAAAATCTGTTCATAGATCCTCAAGGTTAAAAATTCCTTCTATAAATTAAACATTGAATTGATCCCTGAGTTGCTACTTTATTTATCTGAGTAATTTTGTTCCTTCATATTAATAATTTAAAGAATTTATTTTTCTAAATTGTTTTCCCATTGCACTTTTTTTCATATTCCAATCACCAGTTTATGGACATGTATGTACACATCACGTGACTGTATAGTGAGATTATTTATAAACGCATATATTTGAGGGAGCCACTTGTAATTGGCCAAAGCTTATGTGTTAACTGATTTGTTACACTTTAGGAGTCACATTTTCCTTCCAGGTAGCATCGTTTTAATAACTAAAATGTCAAAGTGTTTTGAACTTCTTAAATACAAAATCTAGAGGCATAGAACATAATAATTAGATATTTAATTTAATTATTTTAATTAAAAAACATAAATATTTTCTTTCTAAAAATATTCTCTGCCAACACTGTCTTTATTTAGCACATCATAGTAATGTATGATTTCTGTTTCATTTGGTTATTTTATGGTTTCTGTTTCATTTTATTATTAGGGATATGAGAATAAAA